GGTCCCTGCCCTGAGTTTCCTTATACTTCTGTGACAAAAATCCTGACTCTCGTGTAACACAGAGAAGCAGGAGCAGAAACTGGTGAGAGGCTGTGGTCTCAGGGTCCCATCTCTACGCGGCGTCCCTGACGGGTGTCACTCGGATCGACTAATGAGCGTATCTGTCATCACCTCGGCACCAGTGTCACGACGGGAGGACGGTCAGGCTGCGACGAGGTCTGGGAAACAGCGAGCGACATCGGCAGGTTCTTCTGTAACGTTTCTGCCCTCGTTAAAGATAAGCAGCTTTGATTTTTTTTTGCTCCACTGGGGAATCTGCTGAGGCGGAGATTAGATTCCCAGAAGAGACCACTGAGACAGCGGAGAAATGTCCTTACTTGTCCCTGGGAGTGACGTGTCCCTCTCACACGGCCCCCGCTGCCCGATCGCCGTCTTTGTTCACATTGGTGCAGATTCCCAGAGCTCAGCGGCACAGACAGTACCTGAAAGCGGGACGTAGAGGGAGCTCCAGAGTTACAGACCCCTAGACTGATATCATCTCCAACTGCAGGTGAGTTAAATAGGGCTGAAAAGCAGCATATGAGGAATTCTATGATGCATAGCGAGGTCCCATGTAATGAAAATAAAATCTGAGCAGAACTGCAAAGTCCTACCACTGCGAGGCACATTAGGAAATCCAGTCCAACCTTAAACATTTTTGGGGTTTTTTAGCATTTAATGGCTTTCGGAATTTTTGGAATTTTCATATTTTTACCAGCCTTTCATGCCAAGAGAGGTGAGACTTTTATTAGAATGGAGACTATGAGGCTGATCAATACTTTATTGAGTGGGGGGGCGGGGGGGGGATGAAGAACCGATTCCTCGGCTTGAGTCCTTATTCACATTTGGGTTATGCTTTGAGCCACTAAGATATTTAGGATATTTTGGGAAATTTCAAATTTAATACCTTTGCGGTTCAGGACGGGATGATTATGACAGATAAGCCGCCATTGAAAACAAAATTATTTTTGGGTGCAAGTGTAGGAAAATTTAGCAACAGGACAAGCCTGAGTTCTGCAGGACTGGTAAACATCCATCCCTACAAAACAAGCCCATAAAAGTGCTAAAAAAAAAACCCTCAAAACAAAAGTACACAACAGATTGGAATGAAACATAGAATTGGACAGAGAGACCCAACGGCAAATGAAGCCCTTAGCTGTGAGTCACAGTTTGAGCATCGGACCAGAATGGCCACAGAGCCGCCTTCCGCGGAGACCTCCGGAACATCATGGGTTGTGACACGCCAACAGCTGAGTGGTGCTTCCAACGCCTAGAAGCCAGGGGAAGAAAGTCAGGCGGCAGAAGGAAAGCAGACCTTGGCTTCCAAAGGAACAGCAGAACTTACAGAGGCTGAAATAAACCAGTGAGCAGGCGAGTGAAGCGTGACTTCAAATGAGCTTCACTGCCTGGCTCTAGACTGAGGGGTGCAACAATATAAACTCCTGTGATGGATCTTCAGGAAGTTTCTCAACATTCTCTGGTAAAAAAAATAAACAAGCAAGCTTTGTTTTCCATAAGTACAGAGAGATTGGAATGCTTCTCTTCACTGACCCCATCTTACTCTCCATAGCTAGGGGGGGGGGTCAGCCAACATGCCATACCCCTGCAGCTCAAAGGCCCATAGACATATAATTGTTCGATCAAGGCTGGGGCTTGAACAGGCAACCTTCTGACCACATGCCTAGAGACTTAGCCCACAGAGCCACTCACCACCCATGTATATGTACTGGTACAGAGACACAGGAGTGACCGTTCTGGGAAAGGATTTGCAGAAGCTATAACGACAGGGATTATGATGTCACAATCATGAAGAACTATGATGTCACAATCATGAAGAAGAACTAGAGCTGATAAATTTCATGTATTGGATTATCAGTTCTCAGTCTGATCTCACAACTCGGACTGTTAATGTCTCAGAATTGAAGATGCATGATGTTCTACCCTCCATGGGAGGATATCTGATGGCCTGAAGATAAATACCATGGAAGATGAACTTCTGAACTTCTGCTAAACATTTATTTTAATTTAAAATCTCAAGGAACTAAGGCCTATGTAGTAGCTGTCACCTCTTGAAGGCAGCAGAGCATTCTTGTGGTCTCCAGACAACCTTCTGGAATCTTCTGTTGTCACCGGGGCAGCCTGTGTCCATTGGTATTGTGGCTTACCAGTGTTTACCCAGAAGCCTTGTTTACATTAAAGATCAGAGCTAAACAGCAACAGCAAAAAAATTGCATCAGCCACTCAGAGTCAAAACAGAAAAATGATGCTCGTCCAAAACTAATAAGCAAGGGATCTGAGAAATGATTTTAAAGGGGCTCCGAGACAAAGCAGAGCAAATAACTTCTGAGAGTTCGTGGTCTAAATGCGGCCAGACAAAGGGCAGAAGTGGGGAAGACGGCTTTTTGGTCATGAAATGTTTCAGTCTTTGGTGGTCTGGTGGCTGCAAGTCTTCTGAATTTTATGTGTGATAAAGAGCTGGAAAATGCTCAGAAATGCATCTGGAGTATTTTAACCGCTCACGATGTTCAAAGGTCTGTACCAGGAGCACACTGTTCTGTTGCTTTCCCCCCCCCCTAAATCCATACAAACTGCTTAGTGGAGATCATTGAATTTTTAAGAAGCATGAATGCTCAGCACGAGGGCCAATGGAAACCACATCTTGGTGGGTTTGTGTAATGGGTAATGAATGATGGGTGAGGAGGAACTTTGACATGCTGTTTAGAACTTCTTGTCCGGCTGTGGAGAGATGCGAGCTCATGGGAAAGTGGCTCGGTTACTCTAAATGGATGGTCTTCATGTCCACAGCGGCCCCCTTGACTTGAGGTTGCTGCGTTATTTTGATTGGTCCTCCAGGGATCCCCCCGCTCTTCCGGAGTGGTGGGAACGGCCTCGGGGTCCTGCCAAAAATTAGCGAAATATGCTGCATGTTTACGTGCCAGTCAATGGAAGCTCAAGCGAGCGTGAATCTTGTGCCGGGTGAGGTATAAACATAAAAAGAACTGAAACATAATTTAAAAATTAAAAAATATATAAAAGTTTATTTTACTTCTGCATTTCATTTTTTTAATGTTATATCCAGGACAAGATTATGCCCTTATATTTATTGTGCCGACGCTTCATGTCTCTCTTGGATTGTATGTGTGCGTTTGTGATTTATGCATTGATTAATGGTCATTATGCACATTCAGTTATACCCACAGTATAGGCACATAAAGACCCTTTGCTCTTTAATGCAATAATTATGATTTATTTACTTCTGTAAGGCAAATGGATATTTTGTGACCTTCTGTGTTGGCGAATGTGCTCCTCTGCTTTGATGTTTGTCTCCGGGAAGCCCAGCCAAGTCCCACAGGCTCATCAGCATGGAGATGTCCTCTCTGCTCTTTGGGGAGGAATAGCAGCTCATTCCCCTGGCACAGGGACTTTGGCGTGGGAGCGGTGCCACGGGGACGGTGCCACGGGCTCGGGGACGGCTCCGCTTTCTCTGAATTCCTCAGCGCCTTCCCAGTCGCTCTCTCCGATTGTGTCTGCGAGGTCTGGCTGTGAGCTGAATCCAATCCAGTCCCAAGGCGCCTCCTGCTGTGGTTACCATGGCGATGATCCCGCTGGTGGACTGCTGATGGCTGTGCTCCTCACGGATCCCCAGATCCATGAATCCACCTCACACCTCCCATCCTCTTCTGCTTCATTATATAGCCCAAGAACATGGTTCAGGGGGTTAGGACTCTATGCTATGGTTAGGACTCTATGATTGGAAGGTCAACCGTTCTAATCCTAGGGTCGGCAGAGCGATTTCACCGCTGGGCCCTTGAGCAGGGACTGTAGCCCCTGATTGCCCCAAGGATCATCTGACCCTGCTTTCTCAGAAATGCACTTTGCTTCAGAATACAGCGTCTGCTGAATAAATCAATGTAATTTTTATCCTTTAGCTTTGATAGTGTATCCCTCAGGAACTGGTTCTTCTCCTGAAACCCTGAACTTGCCGCAGTCCTCCTCTGACCACTTGCCTGCCTTGTGACGCCGTTTTCGTTCCAGGTGCCCGACAGGCACAGTATTCATACTGGTTTTTGGAACTCGGTTTGCTCAGAGAGATGCTGAGTCTCCATCTGTCATGTGGCCTACTGGAATTTACCCAGAAGGTCAGTGGAAAACAAGGCAGCTCTGCCAATCAGAAAACAAACAATCTCGATGTGCAAATCAGCAGCTCAGTAGGAGACGCTGTTCTCTCACACATCCGGGGTTGTGGGGGCGAAGCCCTATCATGCTCCATGTGTGTGGAATGTGCGTATCCTGCCCGTGCTGTGTGGTTTTCTTCTCGCAGTCCAAAGACATGCCATCAGGCTAATTGGTGTCAATAAGTTACCGATAGTATATGATTATGTGTGTAAGTGTGAGTACTCTGCAAAACACTGGCACATCCAGAGTGCATGCCAGAACTGGGACCGTCTCCAGACCCACCCCATCACCCTGACCAGGACACATGGTTACAAGATGGATGGAAGATCTGCAAATAATGGCTTACATAGATTTTGTGGTTCTGCATACAAACCTTGGAAGCCTGAATAAAGTCTACTAAAGACCATTCTGGAAGACTTTTGTTACATTTTCAGTCAAGCACACAGTACTTTGTGCCTGAAGTAATTACAGCAGCTTTTGTAACTGGTTCACCCATCCATCCATTTTCTGCAACTGCTTGTATTATTTAGGGTTGTGGAGGGTCTAGAGCCTATGGGCACAAAGCAGGGAACAACAACCCATCACAGGGCACACTCACAGGGCACACTCACAGGGCACACTCACAGACGATTCGGTAGCTACAATTAGCTTCACACACATGGAACCCAAGCAGAGACTCAAACACAAGTCTCACCCGTTGGAAGCAACAGTGCTAACCGTTGCACCACCAAGCCACCCCAACTGGGTTAGGATAAATGGAAAAAACATACAGAAACTCAGATAGCTCATGTGAATGATAGCATTTATTGTTTCTTTTGGTGTTCATCATTTATCACAATCTTGCACTGGTAAGTATCCACCAGCAAATTTTGATTTATGAAAATCCACAGCATTAACTGCACTTGCGTAAACATGACCCAAAGCGTGTCATCCTGGACACGTCAATGTTGATGATGCTGGGCTTCTGCAGCAGGTGATGAACCACAAACTCTTTGGAGACCATAAAATCTCTGGTCGCTGTCAATAGGAAGACATTCCTGAAAACCCCTACAATTTCACGGGTCGCTACATCAACAAAAATAAACAATTGTATCAAAGGATACATATACAGGTATGTAAACTTGGTCCAAGTCAAAATAGTGTCCTTACTCCATCCACTCATTCAAGTTCCAGTCCATAAATACCTCCCCCTTCTCATTGGCTCCTTGATACATAGTCCCTCCTCTCCCTGACTGCTTATTGGGCTCCTTACTCCATTCTTATTCATAGTCTAGTCCATAAATACCTCCCCCCTCTCATCGGCTCCTTGATACATAGTCCCGCCTCTCCCTGATTGCTCCTTACGCCATTCTCCTCGTTCATGGTCCAGGCCATAAATACCTCTCCCCTCTCATTGGCTCCTTGATACATAGTCCCACCTCTCTCCTATTGCTTATTGGTCCCTACCCTCCGCCCCCTTTCGAAGTCCACCTCCATTCCAAACACCACACTGAGTAGAAAACTGGTGACTAACCTCCCCAGCCATCTCATGCATAGACACCACAATGAAGATCACATTACTAAACCTCATGCTTGGTTACAAACTCTCCTGAAGATCTGCCTCATGTCTGCGTCAGGAATGGGTACATTCGCACGGCCAAAGTTCTGAGAAATCAAGATGTCCTACGTTTTACTGCCGGCCAAAATGGTCCTGTTGAAGAACAGTTTGAGGAACATTTGGCAAGTGGTTGATTGCTGTTGAAGCACGAGGCTCCATGACAACCAGATTCCATCGTCTTTGTGAGGACAGACCAAAGACAAGCTTCCTGGACTCATAATGATACACCAACCGCACTATGACTGCCACACAAACTATCCAGATAACCCCCCCCCCCTTTCACACTGGTCACTAATAACTACCCCCCACCCCGACTGTCCTTTACTACCCAGGAGGTTCTATTGCTGTCCTGCAAATCCCCCCCAGATTCACCATCCACAAAATCCACCACCCCTTACACCCCAAAGTACCTGTATACTGTACATTATATCACTAACAACCCCGCCCCCCCGCCCCCCACCCCACTCAACCATCCTCTGGGAGACAATTCACAGGTGTGGGGGGGTTATAATCCTGATGATTATTTTCACAACCTAAAACAACAGATGAGGACTTATTGTTTTTGTTCCCCCACGTCACACCCCCACGCAAACAGAAATGGCTCCATGCACTGTAAACTGTACATCAGGCTCGGCAGAGGTGAAGGGTCCATTTTTCAGCGCCAAGGTTGGGTATTTCCACAGGGGAGAAACATGAAGGCATCCGTTATGGCGGTGGGTGGGGCTAGGAAGGGTGTGGCACAGGAGCTACTTGAACGGTGTGCAGTGTGAGGCTAGGTGTGGGCGGGGCTGTGGGGGAGGAGCTAATGAACATGCCACTCCCACCGCGACCCCCGCCGTGAGCTACTTCTATAAATGTGCAAAGCTCAGAACAGTTGTTAAAAAATAGTTGTTGTTGTTGGGGTGCCGGGTGATGTGCTGAAAACGAAAAGGGGAGGAAAAATGAGAGGATAAATTAAAGGGGTAAATTATATAAACACAAATCATAATCATGTTACCCAGTGGGAAAACAAATCTGATTCACTAAAAGTGTGCCACCTTCTCCGTCAGAAGCCAGCTGCCCTCCCGTCACACCCCCTCCAGCGTTATGTGCTATGCTGTGATATACCAAGGACCTCCAGTCAAAGAAAGATCTGGGAGGCAAAAAGCCAAGCGGGGGTTGGGTGGGGTGGGGTGGGCAGGACAGGTACTGGAGAGAAGTTCGAACCCTCTGAGTCTCAAAATAAAGACTTAATGACGGTCGCGAGAGAACAAAACACAGAAGATCTGTGAATAATTCAAGAGATAAAAAACAATGATATATTGTATAATAATAATAATAATAATGACTGGTGATGATGAAAGCATATCGTAATGAGGAGAAATGGCCCTGGACTAAGAAAGCCAAGATGTGAGGATTATAATAATAATAATAATAATGACTGGTGATGATGAAAGCATATCGTAATGAGGAGAAATGGCCCTGGACTAAGAAAGCCAAGATGTGAGGATTATGGGATGATGAGCTGGAATAGGTGCCTGGAAGATAGAGGGATAGATGCTCAGTGTTGTACTTTTAAATTTCACCATGAGGTATTTGCACGGTGTCCCGCCTTCTGTACTGACAGGCAATCTGCAGGATCTCATTAAGAAAGACTGATGGATGTTAAGCCAGATCGTCATGTTTAAAGTGCAGCTGTAAGCACACTGCGTCTGAGATTGGAGCATCCAGCCTGGCATCATGAGATCTGCTCATTCCCATAGTGCACCGTGGCTCCCTCACTGCGGGCTCACATTTAAGATACCCAGGGTCTGGTACAGCAGACCATCAGCCTTATAAAGAGGTCCCAGGCTTGGGATGGGGCTGGGAATGGCAGGAACACCAGGCTGAGCTGATCGCTGCTGATCTTCTTGCATGATGCCTGTATCAGGTCACATACGTGGAGAAACGTGGGTCCTTCTCTGTTTTTTTACTATCTGACTTCTATCAATGGTCATATAAAGCTGTTTGACCAATACGATCTTTCACTCCCTGGAAATAATCATGTAAAGATGTGACCCTGCCCCCCCAGGTAGCGGTCAGGGTCAGGGCCAGGTAGTGGGGGTACCATGATAGTCCACTGACCACTGGTGTAGAATTACTGGGCCACCAAATGCCACGTATATTCTGTTTTGGACCATCTTAGGGCTACGCAACATATGTTAATTGCCAGAGGTGGAAAGTTCAGGTCCTGAAAGTACAAATCCAGACCGAGGTTTTGTTTCAACCAACCAGTTCAGTACTCTGTAAATGTGACTCATTATACTCAACTGGTTGGTTGAAACGAAACTTTGGTTTGATTTTGCACTTTCTGGACCTGAACTTTGCATCTCTGTAAATGGCGGATGAAAGACATGGCCGCAGAGACCGGGTTGGCGGGGATGGGGCGGGGGCGGGGGTGTGTGTGGTGTGTGTGTGCGTGCGTGTGAGCTCCTGGCTGCAGCGCGGTGCGGTGTGCTGCCCTCGGCGCTGCTCCCGGATCAGAATCGGGTGCTCTCATGTTTCAGCATGCGGATCTTGGGGAGCGCCTCCGCCCCCCGGTACCCGTACCCCTGGTGCTGCTCCGCCAGTCATCGGCCGCTGCTGCTGCTGCTGGTGGAGCTGCTGCCCGAGCTGGAGGCACTGGAGCCGCGGTCCTCGAAGACGGAGATCTCGATCTGGGCGCACAGAGGGGTCAAGGGTCAAACGCACCGGCAGAAGCGCAGAAGCGGGTAGTTCAGTATGTAAGACTAAAAATCCAGACCAGGATTTTGTTTCCACCAACCAGCTGAATACTCTGTGCCTGTGACTCTTTATACTCAACAGTTTGGTTGAAACAAAGTCTTGGTCTGGACTCTCTCTCTCTGGGCCTGAACTACCCACCTCAACATACCAGCAGACCAGTCTGGTTCAGCCTGTCCCTCCCCAAATTCCATACCCTGCAACCCCCACCTCCACAACGCAGATATCACCATCCCTACTGGCACGTCCACACCTCCCCAGACCCAAAAACGGCACTGGAAGAATCCGAATCCCTTCCTAAAGCCTTTACCTTTGCCGTTCAAGACACCTTATACCAAAAAACATATCAGCCAAAATACACCAGCAATACGTTCTAAAAAACATATATTAAAATATTTTATGATTAAACTGCAGTGTTCTGGTTCTCCTTCTCCTTTCGGAGAAGCCAGCAGAGGACACATCCCGGAAGTTTCTGGAAAAGGATACCACTCGCATGCCTCTCTCAATGGGGTCTGTGATCAGCAAGCCTCGGGGAGCGTAGATCTTCTCGTTCTGGTCCTGTATGTATTTGGAGATCTTCTTCAGCACCTGGAGGGGGGGGGGGGGGGAGGGGGGCAGGTTGCAGAGATGGTTAGATGGACAGGAAGCAGAATACGGACCCCCCCTGACCAGTTGCCATCCTTTAGCCGGGGACCATGGCTGAGGAGGAGTCTATCCTGCAAACGCAGCACCAAAGAGGTCTTTGGCCTTTTCATGAACTAAAATCTACCTCCTCTCAGTCTCTAGCATAATTTCAAGTGAGAGCACGACAGAGCCACCATGTCACAGGACCACGCGCCGCTTTCGCCTCCGCGCTGTGCTGTGCAAGGCGACCTTTGACCTGACGATAATGACAAACAGCCCCTTCGTTGCCCTGCAGAGTGCCGTGTGATCCAGGGCTTCAGATCCGCTTCATTAGCTTTTGGCAGTGGTGTGCATACAGGCCATGGCTAATTAGAGGAGCGTTAACGATCTGGGAAACCGTGTTTTTGTTGTTTCTGTAAGGAAACCTCAGATCTGCTCAGCACAGGAGCAACGAGGAGTTGAGGGTCTGCACGACGGGACAACAGGCTGTGACATACTAAGTAAACGCCCCAGGGCTGAAATTAGCCTCATCTGGGACTTCATGCCATCTGCTGTCAGAATCAACAACCGTGATGTGACTGTGACCGTGATGTGACTGTGACCGTGATGTGACTGTGACCGTGATGTCACCTCGAGCAAAGGGTGGGAAGCGAGGCTAGGCGGGTGGTGCCATCGTGAAGGAACACGTCCCTGAGCTGGAGGGGGGAATCCCAGGAGGGGAACTGCTGTTAGACCACAGGGATGCAGCCAGCCAACGGACACATAAGCAGAACCCACAGAATACGTAGCTGCTTAAAGACAGTAAACAGTGAACGTGGTGTGTGTGCCGTGATGGGGATGAATAACAGAGAGGAAAGATGGATGAGGGGTGTGCGGGGGTAGCTGGAGCCTACAAGCTGGGACGGGGCACGTCTGATGGGGGCATAAAGGGCTTTAATATACGGAAATCTGACACATATACAGAGATTATTCTTCAAATCTTTTAAAATTCCTAGAAATTCCTAAAATTCTGGTGGTCGATAAGCTACATACCAGGTCGTTTTTGGTTCTGGTGCTAGTCATGGTATGAACATTTCCATGTTCAAAATTCCAGGAAATTAAAGGAACATCAACTAATGGATATATGATCCAGTATAACTTTATGTTACTTAATACTGTGGTAAATACCTCAACCCATAAATGATCAGGACCCTCACACTACTAAACCAAAGCCAGACCAATTCCAAAGACCAGTTCCAAAACTCAACAACAGAAGTACAGAGGAGGGTAAAAATCCCCAGCTGTTGGTCTTGCTCCACCCCAAATATCAATAATGCATCAGTTGCATCCTCACCAAACAAAACCAATCATATGATTCATTGCACCTCAAGTTCCTTCCTGGGAGGCAAGTTAGCAAGACTGGTCTTGCCAAGACCACAAGCATGACCTTTGCGTTCTTGGCGTTAAGAAACACTCAAGGGCTCTCGAGAAAGAGCGCAGGGCGTTGGGGGTGCTGTTCACATTCTCTGATGCTGTTTGGGGGTAATAAGCCTCAAACCCTAACATCAGCACTTTATATTTGGTCATCTATTTTTCCAGATGGATCCAGCTGGATATTATACTTAATATCAAATATTTATTACTTTAGAACTGAATAAAATATTTAATAATCCAAGCATCTCCAACAAGCGGTATGTATTATTAAACACATTCCATAATAACAGGAGAGAGGCTGCTTTGCAGAAGTACTGCAAGCTGGGTCAGCATACAGAGGTGGGTACTGTTCATTATGTGTGTCATCCCTCAGAAAACAGGCCAAGGACACACTGTTTCCCTGACCTCGTGATTCACTCATTTTCTGATTGGTTCTCTGAGCTGTCATTCCTTGTTCAACCAATTGACTCCTTGATCAAGAAATTCCTTGGTTCCCTGATCTGAGGATTTCTTGATTCCCCCAATGATTGCCTGATCTGGGGATCCCTTGGTCCCCTGAATGGCTCTCTAATTTAGGGATTCCTTAGTTGGCAGACTGGCTCACTGATTTAGCGATTTCTTGGTTGCCAGACAGGGTCTCTGATCTCAGAATACATTGGTTCCTTAATTGGCTCCCTGTGGATTTCTTGGTTTCCTGATTGGCTCCCTGTGGATTCCTTGGCTTCCTGATTGGCTTCCTGGGGATTCACATGTTCAAATTCAAGCGAGCTAACCCTCCTGCTTATTCCAATGGGGCCTGCTGTGGTACCACCGGCTGGGGAGGAGCTTGCGGGCCACGTTAGCATTAGCATTAGCTCACGCTGCTCACCTTCTCGTAGCGCGTCTCCATGCACAGGAAGATAACGTACGCCGTGGCGCAGGCCAGACAGCCCTCCAGGTACGACTGGCCGCCGATTTTCTCGGCCTCTGCGTAGTAATCGTTGAGCGTCTTCACCGTGATCTCAAAGAGGGCCCGCTCGATCTGCATGCATGCACAAGGACGACACGAGCACAATGTCCAGTTTCAGTAGGTCAGCCTATGTGTCTAGAACTTTCCGGGTGCACATTTCCATACGACAGTACACACCTGACAGAGGGACATCTCACTAATGCCATCTCCTGTAACCCTGCACATCAGCGGTTCTCCTCCGGCTACCACAACTCCAGTCTTTTCATCATTTCCTGTCTTTTTTAGTCCCCGAGAAATAAAACGTGATTCTGAACAGATTCCGGACCCCCTCCCCCGTCATCTCTGCCGGGGTCTTACTTTATGCTGAAGCTGCCTGACGTCTGTTTCTCCTTCTGTTTCTCCCCCTCTCTTTCTCTCTTTTTGGCACTGTTATTCTCAGTTTTTTTTAATTAACAGGGGCGACTTTGCTTGCCAAACCCATCCTAAAAATATTCTTTTTTTCCCGCGACCCCCCCCCAACCCCACGGCACCCCTCTGTGGTTTATTAACACCTCGCCAGAGTTAATTAATGTGCACGACACTTTGAAATCGACTTTTTTCCCCTTTTCAGCTGAGTTGGCGTGTGGGGGGGGGTAGCTGCTTGTGGTGCCCACGGACTTGGAAAACGCGGGTTTTAACACACCCCCACCCATGGGGCCGCTTCCTAATGAGACTAATAAACAGCGGGGGCTGTAGCGGGGAGTACCGCCACCCCAGCGAGCCCTAAACGCCGTGGAAACGTGATACCCCCACAGGCATCTTCCTGCGAGGCTCTTAAACGGGTTACAGCTCAGCTGTAAATTTGTTAACCAAAAAGCCAAACCTCCCCCAGGATGGATATTAGTGCTCAGGCCTTTCCAGCCACTTTTAAACCAATTTCCATCTGTTTTATTCTGGTATATTTATATTTCTTAGCACCTTATAATAAATGTGAAGATCTCAGTTGAGTCTGTCTGTTGTGTTGATGCCCAGCAGGATTGTCTGTCTGTGTCTGTTTGTGTCTCTCTGTCTGTGGCTGTCTGTCTGTCTGTGGCTCTGAGGGTCTGACTGCATCTCTGTCTGTCTGTGTCTGTTTGTGTCTCTGTCTGTCCGTCTCTGGCTCTGAAGGTCTGACTGCATCTCTGTCTGTCTGTGTCTTTCTGTCTGTGGCTGTCTGTCCGTCTCTGGCTCTGAGGGTCTGACTGCATCTCTGTCTGTCTGTGTCTGTCTGTCTGTGTCTCTGTCTGTCTGTCTGTGGCTCTGAGGGTCTGACTGCATCTCTGTCTGTCTGTGTCTCTGTCTGTCTGTCTGTCTGTATATATGTCTGTCTGTCTGTCGGACAGTCTGCATTTCTCTGTCTGTCCCACCTCCAATCCGAGACAAAGCAAAACTAGCTTGCTCTGTTGCACCCCCTCAGAAAATGTCGCCGTAGGCTGCTGTCTATGTTGTCTAATGAGTTGATCTGGCACTGGATGGATGTAGCGTGATGTTTGTGGGCGGGATTGTGGGCGGGGTTGGGGGGCAGGGGGATGCTCACCCGGCTATCCAGCTCTGCGGGAAACTTGGTCTGGAACTTGCAGATGGTCCCCTCTGAGTAATCCCTCTGAATGAAGACCTTGGTGGCCAGAGACGCACTGTGGTGCAGCTCCTGGAGGTTGTGGAACTTGGAGAGGCAGAGAAAAAATGGTCAGCATTCTTAAAAATGGACAAAAATCTCATTATTATTGTGTCTGTATGCTCAGTTCTTTTATTACAAATGACCTTTATAACATCGTGTTTTACTGAGGGCATTCAGGTTAAGCGCCAGGTTAAGCTGGACACCGTCTGGGGCTGGCACTAAAACTCAGAGCGACGTCCTTAACCACAGCGCCACCTACTGCTCTACTTCATAATGAACTCAAAGTGCTCATGACAGTTTTCAAAGGACAAAAACAGGTGGCAATCTGAGGGAGTGCATTCCTGGCTTTATTAAACTGGGAATATGGACCAGACTCAGTGATTTGCAATCGTAGAATCTGCCAGAGCTGCAAGCTGTCACACGTAGCCTCGCATTTCAATCAGTCTGCACGTGTGTGCCTAATCTGAGGCATATTCAATGCCTGGAACTTGCGTCCATGACATCTGGGTGTTATAATTAATATATAATAATATAATTAATGCTAATTAGGGACTCGATTGAAAACGCGAAACTGCCCTTTTAGTATTGTTCAAATAAGAAACGGATGTCACAGATGCACAGGAGTTCACAGTCAGTCTCTGAATGACCTTCCCTGAAGTTTAGGAACACAGAGGAAGGTCTGCAAATACATTACTGATCAGAGAATGATCATAATCAGACTCTAATGCTGAAAACATTGTGTCCCCTATAAGTCCCCTGTACATCCACTGTAAGTCCCCTGTATGTCCACTGTAAGTCCCCTGTATATCCACTGTAAGTCCCCTGTATATCCACTGTAAGTCTCCTGTATGTCCACTGTAAGTCCCCTGTATGTCAACTGTAAGTCCCCTGTATGTCCACTGTAAGTCCCCTGTATATCCACTGTAAGTCCCCTGTAAGTTTACTGTATGTCCTCCCTGCGTCTTCAAGCTCTGATGTGTACAGGGGGTCTTTCCTTCCCAGAGACTAGCTGATTTCCATGAGCCGACGTCAAACGAATGACCTGCGAGCCCAAAGAGGAATGCAGGAATTGGGCCTGCTGATGCCACAATACTCTTACACAGTGCTTCCCTGTCCAGTACTTAGGACCCACAGACAGTCCATGTTTTTGCCGGGAGCTGGGAGGGTTCTGTGGGTTCCTGAGGACTGGATAGGGAAACATTGCCCTTAGGAGACCATAAACCCCTCGCAGCTCTCGCACTGACCTTTTACGCGCCATCTGTCCGCGGGGGTCTATGGCCCCTGAGTCGAGGGACACCCCACAGACATGAGGTCACCAACAGGTCTCCAAAACAAACATGTTTAAATTCAGCATCAATGCAGGATGCTATTTAAAAAAAAACTATTAGTTCCACTACATTTGACCCGGGCAAATTATACTGGGTGTTTTACTGAAAGGATCTGTCACTTTTTGCATGACTTTCTGCAAAGAGTTGACCATCCTCTATATAAATGGCCACATTAATTGTGTTTAATCATGTGTTCTAGAAAGGTCATGTGACCCCATGCACCCAGTCACCTGACCAGATTTATAAACATCAAAGGAAACATTTTCCAGCTGCATTCCTTACCTCTCCTCAAGCTGCTGTATTTGATTTCATCTGGCAGATCTGGACCAGAGAATTGGGTCTTGCCAGGCAGAGAGGGGTTGAGCTGTCAGACCCTACCGCGGACGGCATTTCCCGGCCAATTGCTGCTCTGCGCTTTCCAGGGAAGTGCTAGTTTCACCACCAAGACACGGTTTGGATAGAGTGCCGTTTGAGGGCACACCTGACATTCTCACGCCGGTGGCTTCTGGCGAACAACGGCCGCACTGTGCCGTGTGCGCGATTGTGTGCGTCTGCATGTGTGTGCGTCTGCTCGTTAGTAAAACCCTCCCTGGCCTGGTGCCCTTCCAGTTGTGCCCACTGGGCCTCACTGTGCCATTCTCACTTTCCCTGTGAGACTCGTGTTTCACACGCTCCATAGACTTTTGCGGCTCTTCGGTTAAAGAGTGGATTTCTAAAACTAACTAATGGTCCTTTTTTATCACCGTTTTAGGGCAAATGACCGATACAGCCGGCAGCTGCCAATGTTCTCGGGAACATGAATCTTTTGGAGTCCCCAATGCTTCCGCGATTGATTTAGCAGGTGTGCGTAAGTGTGAGCAGTCACGTTCCCTCATGTGTGAGACCGGGAGTGTGTGTTAGCTCACACTTTTCTTCAAACCGATGTCCAATTTCCCCCATTTATACCACTAGAGCGATTTGGAGCCCCTCATTAAATGTGTCTTTTACAGGGGGACTGGAACCAGCAACCTTCAGGATGAATCTGCATCTTTAAACACCAGATGAACACTCTGTGTTCATCAGTTTCACTCTCTGTTTTCCATTGTATTCAGGTTGAACTCTGCCCTGCCGAGATGTGACCTCTCTAGCGACTCCTTTGGGAGTGCCGGTGCTGTGGATAGACTTGCTGGGCAGAGTCCAGATGGCTGGGTTCATTTTGACTCCAGGGTCCCTCACGTTTAAACAGTTACTATCGTCGTCCTTCAAAAAAACTACCTCCAGCAGGCCCAAAAAAATTCCCCCCGAAATATTATCCCTGAAAATGACCATACTTCCACTCACCGGGAGTCACCTGACATCTTTCTATCTGCCGATTGGCCGCTTCTCAGCTACTTATGCAGTGTCGTTTGTTGTACTGCAGCGAAAAAACTGAGGTGGTGTCTGACAGCAAGTGCTGTGAAGTCACACTTTGTTAGATGCGATCACTAACAGACATGCGTTCATGGGACTGAAGCAAATCCCCGGCCATAAGTGACTAAAGGCTGCAAAGTGGTGCGTCATTTTTTCACCAACAGTCAAACTGCGAAAAGTTTTGCCATGTACCGCATCTAAAGAACCAAATAAAATCACCCCAGCGGATGATGTAAACTTGGTAGGTGTTCTCATTTATGCAAAGCTCTGTCAGAGGACTGATTGGCATTTCTCCTGTAGTAAATACCCTCTGACAAAAGAAGGGTGCTGTTTTCCTCAGACTGTAAGGCTTCACTTCCATTACAGCCCTGTTTTCCTCAGACTGTAAGGCTTCACTTCCATTACAGCCCTGTTTTCCTCAGACATTTCTTTGTTACTGATGCTTTGCTATCACAATGGCTGTAATTGTATTCTTTTATTAGTAAGGACGATTACGTGTGCAGGGGACACTGTCTTCCCCACAGAGACGTGTTCAGTGACTTTTTGTACTGTAAACAGAGGCGAGGGCACAAATTTAACGATGCGCACCAGCTTCTGACCATTAATCCTGCACTTTAATACCGGCGTCGACTGTTTGAGGTCCACGACAGCAGCACAAAGCATGACGTCATAATATGTCTCTCGGCTCACCAGTTGTTACCGAGCCAATGTCCAATCCTAAGGTTTTGGCCAGATGAGTCGCTGCATTCATGTTTTGATTCAAGGTGTGGAAAACGACCGCAATGTCTAATAACTAGTCACCCACAGGTTATCACAGTTTAACTAATCAACTGTAGATTATCAGTCAGTCACAGATGGTCGGAGTTTAATCAATCTGCAGTAAATGACAATAGATTACCCAATGAGACATTAATTATCCATTAAATTAGTCATTCATAGATAATCACAATTTCATTCAGGTTCATTGTCACCACTTAACTGGTCAGCTGTATATCGTTACAGTGTAACCAGCTGTCATGGGTTAAGGGGCCCGAAACTGCTGCTTTTCTGAGATCCAGTGGACAAAACTGGCAAAATTTGATGTGTGGGATTTTTATGTGTAATTCGAGAATCATAGTACATATGATAAACCCCATTAAAAATGGTGATAATCCCAAAGTCAAAGCTGACAAACAGGTTTCAGATCTTAAACAAAGTAGCTGTGAAACATGCCCAGTGCAAGCTGCCACCCAGTCCCCAGCCACGTCAGTCTCACCCCTGAAATGCCCTAGCCTCTTCCCTGAAGTGTCCCGGTCTCACCTCTGAAATGCCCTAGCCTCTTCCTTGAAATGCCCCCCAGTCTCACCCCTGAAATGCCCAAGCCTCTTCCCTGAAATGTCCCAGTCTCACCTCTGAAATGCCCTAGCCTCTTTCTTGAAATGCCCCAGTCTCACGCCTGAAATGCCCTAGCCTCTTCCCTGACGTGTCCCAGTCTCACCTCTGAAATGCCCTAGCCTCTTCCCTGAAATGTCCCAGTCTCACCTCTGAAATGCCCTAGCCTCTTCCCTGAAAGGTCCCAGTCTCACGCCTGAAATGCACTACAATCTTCCCTGAAATGTCCCAGTCTCACCTCTGAAATGCCCCAATCTTTCCCCTGAAATGCACCCATCTCTGGAGACCGTTACAACAACAAGCCTGTGAGACTTGGCACGCAACCAAGCTCCGCGGTGGGCATCGCGCCCTTCACAAGCTGTTCTACACGACGATGTTGAGCATTCGATACCCTCCCTCCCCCCCCCCCCGGGGAAATGCCGCCACTACCGTCAAAGCGCCCTACGTCCTCGAATTTCAGCGCTCCGTCCCAAGGACGCTGGCGCCGTCTGAGCCCAGTGTCCGCTAATGTCCCAGTGACCCCAAGGACGTGTTCTCATGCTGTGGAAAGACTCGGAGCAGGGCTCCTGAAGTGACTGATAGCTGCTTCTTCAGGAACAGCGTGTGAAATACCACTCGGAAGTGTTGACATCAAGCACATGATTAATAATCGATAGTGTTTGGATCCAGAATTCTTGGCACTCTGTGGGAGAGGGAAACCCCACATGGCTGGGTCTCCCAGCATCCCCTGCTTCATTCTGAGCTTGTTGTCAGAGCCCGTGGTGCTGGAAGCTTTGGGAATCTACACAGCGCGTCTCGATGGCCGGGCCTTACCTGTTACACAAGCATCACAGGAGAACAGTGGCACGCCCGTGAAAAATATAAGCCGAAATGGACACACTCAAATGTGTGGTACAACTGTTGCCGTGGAGCTGAATATAGAGGTTAGCTAATCTGACGGCTGATTGGTCGACACTGAAAAGGGGCGGGCACCATGGGAAGCTGAGTAGCCTGATCATGAGCCACAAGTGACCTGGGTGTCTGTCTCCATTTTCAGGGACACTCTCGCCCCGCTACCATTACCCAGAAGGTTCGGGACGCCTGGGGCACAAATAAAAATCAGGCTAAGCTATTCGCCACATTAGCGCCTTCCAGAGGAATTTCTAGGTATTGAAAAGGTCGGGGGCTAAGTCAAGTTTACCTGGGGCTTTTCTGAAGGAAGGCTGGCATCAAGGCTAAAATACACAGGGCTATATGATCGGACCTAACGACGACCATGACGTCTTCTGGCAGGAATGCAGATCCTGGCAGCCATACAGATGGAAGGATACGGCCATCGGCTGTTTCACTTTAAGCTAACTTTCATCTTGCCGGAGGTCAGGTGGAAGAACTCTGAAGGGGATGCGAACTAGCCTCCACTTGGTGGAAAGCAGGGTCGATACCCCGGCCGTCTCAGTACAGGAAGTCAAAGTTTGGGTCCTGCCTCAGGCTGCCCTCAGCGTCACAGCTGCAAAATCACCTGATCATTGATGACATTTACACTGGAACTGAAGCTACATCACCGCTATCAGAAGATCAATAAATCAATCAGATTGCCATACACCTAAGCTATATGGTTCCTTCGTTTGACCGTAACAGTGACACGTGTGGGGATTGAAAGGACAAGCATAAGGAGACCTGGGTCTGTGATGAGGAGCGCATGCTTACAGACGCCCTCTCCCGCGTGCTATTTTTATAGCTATGCGGGGGACACGGTCCTACCAACGCTGAGCAAGCAGCGGGTCGGAACCACACGCGGTTGCTTTGGAGACGGAGCCTGACGCGCGGCGGATCTTCCGGTGGACGTGGACTGTGCCGTCATTCACAGCGATTCGGGACCTCTTACAGATCTTACAGATCTCTGCAGCAGAATGATCCTCAACACGGTGTTCTGTCCGTTTGTACCTGACATGCCGAAGTGAGCCAAAGGTCCCCTCTAGAATGGTAAAATCCCCCAGATCACTCACCTAATGACGAGAACAGTAATCCTCTGTGTGGGAAGATTTATAAAGTTTAGGATTCACATCTGTCTAAATTACTCCAAAACACAAAATAAAAATGTTTTACCTAGTAAAATCCTTGTGCATAGCCATCAGTGGTACTTTTGTAATGGTTTCTTTAATGCCCTTAACTTAGCGAAAGACCGGGCATATTTTGAATATTTTAATGCGGGAAGTGAGATTACATCATTTAAATATAGGCCTACTATACAGCTCCACATTTTAGCAAAATGAGGCAGTCATAAGTGAAGCATAACACGAGCTTGGAAAAAACTCGGAAGGTGGCGATCTGACTTAAAATAAAATGTTAAAAATGATGCGGCGAACAGCTCAAACAGCAGAGAGGACGTTAACACGGGCATCCGGCGATGCCCTTCCATCAATTCCCATTAAAGCGCTTCGGCTAACTGAAACCTCCAGTGCTTTCAGGCGAAGCCAAAGCACCCTCTAAATGGGAGATTTATTAAATTCAGATAGACAGGAATCCATTACCATCAATAAATGTTAAGAATATTAACACAAGACATTGCCGTTCACTCTATGGCGCTATTCACTTAAATAATGCATATACATAAGTTATGGATTTTACTTATTTGCTGTTTTTTTTTGTACAAATGCACAGGCTACTCTGTCCCAGCTGTGGACTAACAGTGTATATGCAAAAATGAAACGCTTGCATATGTATGAAGCAACTGTCCACGGTGCTGACGGACCGCACGCGTCACCCCCGGACCCAGTTCCAAAACCCGCACGCCGATAACCCCGCTAGATCCGGCAGACAGAGGTGTGACACCCCCAGCCAGGCAGCCACCCACCAAGATTACACTCCCGGAGTGGAGCCATATCCGGCTCAGCGCCCCAACAGGGTAAGCGCGCGCCACGCATCGCGCCCTGCATGCAACAGCAGCGCACGGTAAACAGGAAGCATGCAGCACGCTTTAAAGCCCCAAACGCAAAACGCCAGGACAAATGCCGCAGTCACAAAGCCTTATGAATACTTACACGGATTTAGTTTTCTAAATTCATAATACCTTGATCTTATGTAGTTTAAAACGTAAGCGAGGACAGCGTTTTGCTTCTTAATTAACTAATTTGCATGGCTCTCCCCATCCTTTTCGCGGACTGAATGATATAATTTAGGACCGATTTCGTTTCATGATCGTACCACAGTTTTTTTTTTTTTTTTTTTTTTTATAAATATTTTATGTGGTTCTGAATGTCCAGCGTGCACTTGTAGCGTTTGTAAGAACGACCTTCGTTCCCATTGTCAATCGACAAAAATAGCACCAGGGATCTCCTCTCTATCCGATTCCTTGAATAAAACCTGTGCTCTTTACCTTTACTTCTTGTGGTTAAATTTTCTATTCATCCGTACTCGAATGATCCGGCGTAATTTTCGACAAAGGAGAAGCGTGCCGGGCAAATCATGTCTATGAGCGATGCCTGTGCGGTGCGTTTCCTAAAATAAATAAAGGAGATAGCAGCCGAGGTATGCCGCTTCCATGAAGCGATCCGCTGATGCTTACCTCTGTCGCCATGTTGCCATCCGACAGTGCGGGATCTGTCCCGGTGCTGAAATCGCCTTTAGTGGGACAGCGCAGCAAAGCCTGGCGAGGGGGTGGGAGGGACGAGCTGCCGAGGGTGGAGGTGGAGGGTGGATGCAGCTGCCGTGGGCTTGGCCATCACGTCCGAGGGATATCACACCGGATCCGCCTGTCTGTGACGATGCATTGATGCTGAGCTCCCTGGCGAGGAATCAGCTTTCTGCCGACTTCCCGAGATACCGGGGGAAGTTAGCGAACTGTGTGCCAGAGGAATCTTAAAATAAACACTTATTTTAATTACTAATCCTCATTACAGTAATGATGATTCAACGTCATTTGTTAGGGACTTGTTGGAAAAACTAATTCGCGTGCACTTAAATATTCTATATTCACATGATTATTTTTAATTATTTTTTCTACTACATTAATGGAGCTCCGCTCGTGCGTTATAAATAGTATTGGATTTTATCAAAGTGGCTAAACATACAATAAATCATCGTGATAGGCCGTGGATTCAGTCCAATAGTTAAAAGACTATATATTCTATAATTTATTTATGCAATCAAGTCGTAGTAGGATGCGGCAGTGGCTGTTTCTATCTGAGAGGTCTGTGCACACGAACGGCGCGTTAAACGCCCCGCCGCCGGAGACAGGATACGGCTTCCATCTCACGCCAGACCTGGGACCGTAACAGACCGAGGCGCCGGGATATACCGGCAGTATCCAACGGTGAAATTTGAGGGATTTATTCCAACACACATTGGGCTCGCGGTCGCCTCAGTCTCCCAGGATTTGGGGTTTGTATCTTGTCTCTGCTTTCTGTAATTTGCATGGTCTCCCTGTAATGAGCAAGCTTCCGACTGCATTAAACAGGGTAATTGTTGTCTCTTAATTACCCAAAGTGTATGTATGTGAGTGTGTGTTTGTGTGTGTGCCAGTACAGCTCAAAGCCCATCCTGATCAAGTGTCTCCAATGGCGCCCCCTGGCGGTGACGAAGTGAAACAGCCATGCTAAGTTTGCACCCCCTCACCTGTCGCCTAATGGGTTGACCGGTACTGGTGTGTGTCCCACTGTGGACAGCCATTGTGCCCTGGGTGTACCAGGCCGGATGGATTCCAGGCCACATCATGATGCTGTCCAGGACAGGTAGTTAGAAGTGGAATGGACCAGCCCAAGAGAAGGTCCAGCCAGTAAACCGAGCTTATGCTGTTTAAAAATGACCCTAAATGCTATAGGCTTATCCTGATTGTCCACAGATAAATAATATCACGTGCTACAAATGGACAAATTTCTTTAGAATTGGCTACGTGAATCTCTCCCTGACGGCCGTCTCACTGTGACTGTGAGCTGAATGGCCTCGAAGTGGCCATCAGCACGTGTGTTAGGTCACAAGGCGGGTTGGGGTTCGAGGCCAGGAGGCGAAGGGGTTTATCCGCAAGGCTGGCGAACAGCTGAGTGGATATTAATAGGAGGAGACGGGGGCAGCGAGGAGCCGGATGGAGTGCAAGATGGAGATGTAACCGTGTGTGTCTGCAAACTGTGAACAGGGCGAACAGCCGAGCACACAGACACACACAGACACACACACACAGACACACACACACACACACAGACACACAGACACAGACACAGACACACAGACACACACAGACACACACAGACACACACACACATACACACACACAGACACACACACACAGACACAGACAGACACACAGACACAGACAGACACACACAGACACACACATACACAGACA